TGTCTGTTTTTGCTCCTCATTATATAGACAGCACACAATACAATGCTTTAAACATAGCATATCTTCAGTAAGAGTCAGTTGAATGAATGAAGGAAAAGGAAGTTGAAATGCCTGGAAGAACCACAGGGAGAGTTGAATATATTTGCTTGGAGAAGAGAATATTCATGTGGAACAAGCTAAAAACCTATGCATGCATGAAGGGCTTCCATGGAACAGTGGGAGTAGATTTGTTTTTAATTCCTTCCAAGGGCATATATAGGATCAAGGGTTAGAAGTTAGAGGTAATGAATCAAATTTTGGTTCACATTAAGAATAAGTTTTCTGATAAAGTGAGCATCAATACTAGAAATGTTCTGTCCATTGTATTTGTTCAAGCATAGACCAGATAACCAAGTGTAGAAAATGTTAATAGACGTTCTCAATAGCAGCAGTGGAAGAGGGGCATATATTTGACTTTCAAACTCCAAAGTGGTGTAATTCTATTAGAAAACAGACAGTAAACAAGGAGACACAGTTGTACAAGGCATCAATTATAAGGCAATATAATTGTGTCTGTAGAGTGGCACAACCAGTAAGTGGCATAATGATGTCTTATTCTTGGCTTGCTTTTTAAGACTTGTCACAGAGGATCTTTAGGTAGACCTACCTGTGTATGCCTTCATCTATAGTTGCTTAAATAAATTGATTATCGATGTGTCTCTTCTGGAGGGTCAAGGGAGTAGACAAAATAGTTTATAAACATACAGAGCCTTAGAAAACAAAAAACTCCAACATTATAATATATGTCATGTTAAATAGTGCTTAAATAGTGGTAAACATTTGCATAGAATATTAAGGCATAAATGATAATTCCTTTTTCTTATGCTCTAGCATATACATACATACATAGATATAGCACACATATAGTGGACTTAAAAAAAACTCCTTTCTCTTACATTTTTATCAAAGTAACAAGACACATAGCTTATTTACATGATGAAAAAAACAGTATGAATGAGGTTTTAATACAATGTTATATAATATATTCAGTAGATGTAAATCAACATTATAATAAATGTAAGGCAACAGTTTTCAAACTATTAGTTCAGAAGGAGATTCACACTAAATTGGAATAGTTACAGGAGTTTTCTTGAAGGAGGAACACTTAGATGAGTCCCTAAAAATGGGGTAGATGTTTATAGATAGATGGGCAAGAAGGAATTCAGTGAATGTGACCACCTCGCATTCTAGGTCTCCTGAGACAGTTTTGATTTTAAATATAACCATGGTCCTACAAGTATGTGCATAATTGCTGGAGCAGGTGTCCTGCTTTTGAGTTTGAAATCTGCTCAGTGTGGACATGAACAAGTGTGTGGGAATGAGACAGGAGGTGGCTAAGCAGTGAGTTAGGTGGATCGGTACTTACTCAGAGCCTGGAAGGAGGGTGAGTGGAACAGCCAGTGTGCACCATCTTCCATCATCCAGTCACCAGCCATCTTGCTGTGCTCTGCTGTCCCCTAGTAAACCATTATGACATCCTGATGTCCCAGAGGGAGAAACATTTGCAACTGTTGGAAATGTGATGGAAAGAAACATGCAATCAGCACGTGCAATCAGCTGCATAGATTGTGAAACAGTAGTCATGGCTCTGTTTGTTCTGTGACAGGATAAAAATTGCAAATCTTTTATAAGATAAAAACTCAAGCTTAAGAGAGACACTGAGCAGCATTCCCATAGTGTGCTACCAGATCACAGTTTGCAGTCCTCTCCTCTCCCCCCAACTCGTGCACCCCAGTTTTTTTAGCTAGTGTCTGCCCCTGGGGCATAGGGCACCAGTTTTGGAGGGCAGAGCAGTTTGGTGAAATTTAGCTCAAACACTGTAGGCTTCCTGTTTTTCTTTGCTATTATAATGGCAAGGCCATAGAAATAAGGTAGAGAAAGGGAGGGTGGGACTCAGAGTAGGTAGAACTAAAAGCAAATTAGGTTTTCAATTTTTCTTGTCCCAGGCTGTAAGAAAGAAAGACAAAGGAGCCTGTGGAACCCATAAAATGTTAGTAACAGCAGTTCATTCAGGGGAAGAATCTCCTCAGAGCAGGAAAAGCATTTCATTGTTCTTGACTTCTCTTCAGTCTTGGGCTCAAATTTCATCATACTGGTTAGAAATTGCTGTACTTTTTATAAAACAGGAGTGTTTATGAGAAGCTACATACAAATTTGAGTAGTAAGGCAAGATTCATTGTTTTAATGAGATTTGTCTTTTGTTGATTCTTATGTAAATCTCTTCATTATATTATTTTCACTTAACAAGAGTCTCAAAAAATCCAAGATCTTGCATCTATGTGGTGAAATCACAAGGCCGAAGAGATGAGACTGCAGGCATGATACAAAGATACTATGCTCATTATACTAGAAAATGCCATACATTTAACTTTATTCATAAATACCAGGTTTACTTGTCAGTAGTATGTCTAATCTCACTTTGGCCTCCCTGTTAAAAATTCCTAGGATCCTGTAGTCCTCCCAAGTCTGCAGTATTATCACTACATCCATACCAGGTAAAAGATCTGTAAAAGATAACAGTAGCTTCTTTCCTTGTCTCCTTGTCACTGCTGTTCCTTTCTGTTGGTGCAGCTGTTGGTCTCCCAGAGCAGCACTGAACACATGATCATATCATTCCTTAGCATTTAGACAGGGCCTCAGTTTCAGCCGTTAACACGTTCAAACACATGTCTGAAAAACCGTTAAAAACCACCTTGGCTGCAGTCATGTGTGCTCATGGAAAGTTCCACCTGTAGGGGACTGAACCTGACAGCTAATATCTTAATAGAGAGTATGCATATTAAGTGTATTTAGTTTTGTTTTTGATTTAGTACTTACCACCCTAAATGGTCTTTGAGTTGGGGAGAAAATTAACTGCACCAAAGTGGAAGGGAGATGAGAAGCATTTGGGTTCAGGTGAATGATTTTACATTCTTGGTTTCGATGGACTGCATAAGTCAGTGATTCTCCCAGTGACTTCTCTCGTTTGGCCACAAAGTCAGATGACATTAAAAAAATATAGCACTGTGCTGGTGAAAATGATGGACAAAATACAACTAGTGAAGACAATATTTTTACGTAAATTCACATAGCAAAATTTGGCCTAAATGAATGTTTCTGCTCCTTTTTAGAGGCATCAAAGATGGCAATCTAGGCCACACACCATAATGGACCACGAACTTCCTTCATAACTTCATTTTTAGCTTGGTTAATTAAGTCTTTGATTTAAAAATATTTATTGAGTGCCTGTATTGTGCCAGATAATATTTACTGTATTACTCAATCTTCTCATTTTATAACTCATTCTTTCCTCCTCCTCTTCTCCCTCCTCCTCCCTTTTCTTCTTTCTCTAAAACCTCTTAAATGGTTCCTATTCAGATTCACCCTGCGTATTTGCCTTATTTTTCTTCATCATACAGATATGCAAATTTCCCATAAAATCTGTTTTTCTCCCCCTCTATTCCTCATGGAAAGGAACATCCTTCAACTGGAAAAATGGAAACTATTTACCAGATTAAAACATAAAAATAATTTTGCACATATATAACTATGTTGTTTCTTTAGGTGTTATGATTAATGAACTTGGTCATTGATTTGTTTGTTTAGTATGTGTCCTTGTTCTTCAGGGAATTTATGTCCATTTTGAGAATTGCCTTTTTTGCATTACTTACTCAATGGACTAATAAAGACAAAGCAGCTTAGCTAAGAAGGAAATCATTTCAGCAACTCTGAAAATCTGCAAGAAAGCATGGCCAGCAGAAAGCTTTCATTCTCTGTGTTTGCATTGGTACCGACCTTAACGGCATGCTGTTAACTCAACATAAAGCTATGCTTTTTAAAACAATTCTAGTTCAAGGGTATCCCGTTTATAGACAATCATGTTCAGGCCTATGAAGTATTTGCAGTAACAATCCAAACTGGCATGTAAGTTAAAGCTCACCCTGGGCAGCTTACACTTACACGATCAGCCTGGGATTTGCTCATCCCATAGCATAGGTAAGCACAACCTCATGATGAAGTGCAATTCACATCTCTCACAATTCTAGGAATCAATGTACATGGATACAATGTTATATTATTATTAAATCCAATTGCTTTGCAATTAACCCAATATGACACCTATACAAATGATTCAAATAAAGCGCCTCATGTTTCACAGGAGACAATCAATAAACTGAAATCACAGCAACCGCCAGTGCCAGCAATTTGCTCATTACTATCGCACTACATTTTCCTCAGGTCGAGGCTGCTGTCCCCCTTTATTGAATCACAGCTACCACTGTTGGCAATGCCCACGCCTCCCAAGAGCACACATTCAAACATATTTGGCCATTCCTAGCACCACTTAGCTGAGTCATGAAAAGTTACTATCAGTCTAGGATGTACTTAGTCATAAATTTTCCTTCCTGCTCCTAAAATGGAATAAGGCTTCTTTCCCCAGGAAAGGTTCCTCAATGGTGAAAAAGAGAATAGTTGTATTTGTTGATGAATACAATATGTTTTTAGAAAAAAACCCAATCTTACTCTTCTTGCATGGTGTTTTACAATTGGTTTTCTGAAAGCCAAACCAAATCATAATAGCATCATTCCCAGTTATTATTATTGATCATCTCCATTTTAGTTAAGTAAAAGCACATCACAGTTGTAACTCTGATCTAAACCATCTGTTTGCAAAAATATTACAACCCTCTCATTATATAACCCTCTTTTGGCAGATTTTGCCAGTGTGTGTATCTGCCAGACAACCTGATATAGAGAATTAACTTCCAGAGAGCAGGGACTGTGTACTTTCTTCAGAGATCTCACAGAGTTGTGTGCATTCAGTGGGTGTTTGTTGACAGCTTATTTGAGTACTGCCTTAAGACCTCATAACTCCTTATTTCAAGTAGACTGAATTTGACCTTATGGAGCATTTAGGACAGTCACGGACCAAAAATGTCTTTTCCATGTCTCTCTCTATATATTTGTTTCCAAACATACAGACTAGTCAAGTCAGCAAATGTTTCCATGAGGCTGTTTTCATCTCCTGAAACGGGGAGACCAGAACATCATGTGTGCAAAATGCCTCTTTTTAACACACACTGTGTGGATGACTGAAAACAATGACTTATTTTGTACTCTAAGCAGAGTGTGTTCTCCATGAATCATAACAGTGACAAAAATGGTCAGTTTGAAATTTCTCCTGTTCAGGGAGGAAACCTTGGGGATGAATCATGGATTCAGTGATGAGTTTCCTGAGGAAGCTAAATTGGAAAGCTGCAGTTAAAAAGGAGTGGAGAGTGTAGCCTTAACCAGAACGCAATGCTTATAAACCCCGAGAAGGCCATAGATGCCACCTTCTGCGCTGACACTCGCACAGAAGCCTGCAGAAGAGCTCCTGGACTTCCACCCGCTGGGGAGAAGCTCTGAAAGCAGAGGAAACCAAACACAACAAGTAAAGTTCCCCATGGATTGGGAAAAGAAACAAGACTTTTCATTGGGGGAAGGGCGACATGTGGCTGCCTGAGAAGAGGAACACAACTGCGCACACTCGCTCATGTGAAAGAAATTCATTTAAGAGCAATTGAATTAGAGATGGAGATTTACATGGATGGCTTTCAAGAAGAGGAGCAGCGTAAGAGTCAAAATGTACATCAGTCATTTGCTACAAAACTGTACACAGCACTGGGGCCTGAGGATACAGTAAGTGGAAAAATGGGCCACTAAATGGTAATTAAACTATGATTACAATTATGTAAAAGATGTATGGGAGAGACAAGGACTAAACAGGAAGACAGAGAAATTAACACAGTTATTGTGTTAATGGTGTAGGGATGTTACTTGTTTTGCATTGTGGAAATTGTGGGCATTTGAACAGGAGGGCAGGGCTGGGGAAAGGCTGTACAGAGCTGCTTGTAAGAGGCCACACCAGGAATTGGGTGTTTAAGCTTCACGTACCTTGCCAGCTGTGAACTTAACCTCTGGGAGCCTCAGTGTCCTGATATAGGAAGCGGGAATAGCAGCACCTACCCTGCACCTCTGAGGTAGCGGAAGCGCTTTGTAAAGCGGAAGTACCGTGGGAGATGGTGTGAGGATCAGAGTGGCGTATGGACCAGAGACTTCACGTGTCTGGAGCTCAGTAAGTCACCGTGAGTCGCTCATCTTAGCAGTCGCTGTGGGAACTGGACAGCCTGGACTGTGTCATTTAATTGCACAATGTACAAATTACAAACACTGGGCACCCCCTGGTTTGCTAACCAGGTTTTTAAGCACCATTTATAGAATAAACCATTTTCTCTTCTATTTAAAAGGATTTGAAATGCTTCCTTTATCCTATACCTGTGTTTAATTCTGAATTCTACTGTTTCACTATCCTATTTTAATTATTGTAGCTTTATAATATTTTTAAATCTGGTAGGGCAACTTACGTGTATGCATACATATTTTAAGAAGGATCTAGTGTAAAGTGGCAGCTATTTAGGAGGTTAAACAAACTTGGGTCCGAGGAAGGAAAGTCCAGCCCAAGTGCGCACAGCAGTATAGCAGTCTTAGAAGAGACTTTGGAATCAAAAAAAGCTTAGTTCAAATCCTGGTTTATTGGTTACCATCTGGGAGACCCAACGTACATAACTTAATCTCTCTAAGCCTCTTTCCTCATCTGTAAATGGAGGATAATAACACTTACCTCAAAGTGCTGTGGGTCAAATCAGAGCAAATGCGCACTTCCCTGGCAGGCACCCGGCTCACAGCTGTCGTGTCCTTCCCCTCCTCTGTCTGTGCACCTTGTGGTGACGACTGGGCTTCTCTTTCTTGGGTTTTCTTGCATCTGCAAAAAAGGGAAGAAGAGCTAAGAAGTAACACCAACCTCTTTCCCACATTGTGAGGACTATACAGAGATACACGGTAACTAAAGAGTAAAGAAACAGGCATTTAAAATGTATTTGCTACTCCTGAATATGGCAAAACAGGAGATTCGGCCTGCCGTATATTTCATAAAAATGCACTGTCATTACACAGCCAAGAACATGGGATGTCAAACAGATAGGAATGTCAGGCAGCATGTCTCTGTCAGAGCTTGAGGGGTGTGGAGCGGGGGGAATGGCTGAGGCCGATGAGAACAGAGAACAGGTGAAATAATAGAGCCTCTCTTTTCTCTCCTGCTCTGACAGGTTTGGATCTTAAGTGATTTGGGGGCAGAGATTACATCTGTTACCTCCCTTTTTGTAGTTTCTAAAAGATTGTTGAATAATATCAGCAATATTTGAAGATTAGAGGGAATAAATGTCACATTGGGCCTTACAGTAACCCTCTGTCTCTGAGAGTAGGCAGGCTGACTTTTGCTGGGAGCTTGTCTTCTTCCCTGGGAAGCGATGGATGGAGTCTGACCATAATTAATTTTAACAGAGACCTGATGTGATGTGATAGAATCTCAGCCATTCAAATGGAGTGGAACCAACCACCCTGCTTGGACAAAAGCCCTCTCAGCTCTCCCTCACCAGTGGGTTTGCAAGTCCAGTCCAGTTTTATTTATTGAGTGATTTTGTGCCTAGCACTGTAGAGAGGTACACAGAAGAAGGACCCTGTCTGTCTTTCACTGTCTGAGTTGGACAGACAAGAAATAGAGTAAAATAATAACAGGTACCATCCATTGAGCCCCTGTCATGGCTTTGCACTGAATTATGTGCTCAGTGGATATTATCTCTAATTCATGAATTCTTTCCACAAAAAAGTTTCTGGAGTGCCCATTATGTGCCAAGCATTCTAGTTGCTGGGACTACCATGGGTACCAGGGAAGAGGAAGATCCTGCCTTTGAGGAACTTACATTCTAGGGCTTAAAGCACACGAATATAGAATATCATTTCAGATAATGATAAATGCTATGAAGAACAGCAACCCAGGGTGAAGGGATAGAGAGGGATGCGGGTGTATGTGGGGGATATTGTAAGGCAGGCCTGTCTGAAGATATGACCTAGAAGGACAGAGTGAGCTATACAGCCCGAGTACCAGGCAGAAAGAACAGCAAGTGTACAGGTGCAGAGGTGACAGGAGTGGGCTACGCTCAAGGCCCAGTGAGGCGGGGCTGGGGTGAGGGAGGAGGAGGGGGGCCAGAAGCAGCAGGGGAGACAGGCAAATGACCAACCTGTGTAGGGCCTTGCGGGAAGTGAAAAGTATTTCAGGTTTCATTTTGAGGACAATGGGAAGCTTTTGGGAAATTTTGAGCAGGGAAGAGTTACCTGGAAACAGACTCTGAGATGGAGACGCTCAGGCAGGAGTCCTGCTCACTCGCATCTGTAGGAATGTGGGAGAAGCAGGGCTGGATAGAGGCAGCATGGTGTGAACCAAGTAGAGGCCCCAGCCAGTCCTGCTGGAGGCTGTGTGGTGGGGTGGCCTCTTAGAGTTTTCCTAAACCGATGCAAAGGGCTGGCCCTTGTAAGTGTCCATCAACTAGTTGCTGTCTCCTGAGTGGGGTTACAAACTTGGGTGAGGGAGCTCCCTTTGGGGGCCAAGCCTGAAGAGATTTGCTGCCCTGGGCCACCAGCAGTTAACACCCCAGCAGCTGGGCCAATGACCTTAGGCCAGGCAATGACCTGAGTGGTACGCCCCAGCATCCACTACAGATCTGCTTTGCAAAGCAGTCCTCCAAGTCAGGCATTTTTATTTTCTTTGTGAGTCTCAGGAAGTTTAAGCAACCTGTTCAAGGTCACAGACCTAGCAGAAGTTGGATTTGAACTTAGATCTCTCTGAGTCCAAGATCATGTACTTAAAAAAAAAAATATGTCAAAATATATGTCCCCTAAAATTAATTGTTAACCCATTTTTTAGTGTATAGTTAAGTGGCATTGAGTACATTCATATTGTTTAATTGTCACCAACATCCATTGCTAGAGCTTTATAAAAAGCTGACAAAACTAAAACTCTCTGCCCTTTAAACAATAGCATAAAGTAACAGTAGTATTAATAGTAACATCATAATATTAAACAATAACTCTCCATTCCCCGTCTCCCTCCAACTCCTGGAAACCACCCTTCTACTCTCTGTCTCTGAATTAGACAACTCTAGGTTCCTTATATAGGTGGAATCATACAGCAGTTGTCCTTTTGTATCTAGCTTATTTCATTTTGTATGTTGTCCTCAAGGTTCATTCATCCATGTTGTAGCATATGTCAGGATTTCCTGGTTTTTAAAGGCTGAATAATACTTCATTGTGTGTATGTATTACATTTTCTTTTCTTCTGTACATGGGCATATGAGTTGCTTCCACCTTTCGACTATTGTAATGCTATGAACATTGGTGTGCAAATATCTGTTTGGATCCACGTTTTCAATGCTTATGGGTATTACCCAGGAATGGAATGGTTGCATTCTACAGTAATTCTGTTTTTAATTTTTGAAGAACAGCCATACCTTTTTCCACAGCACTTGCACCATTTTACATTCCTACCGGCATTGCACAAGGATTCCAGTTTCTCCACATCCTTGCCCACACTTCTTTTCTCTTCTTCCTTTTCTTTTCTTTTCATTTTTTAATTTTTTTGAGAATAGCCATTCTAATGGATATGAAGCTGTACCTCCTTGTGGTTTTTGTGCCACCATGCTATCTGTCTCTCAGAAAGGAATCAAAGATCGCCAGTATGCATCGAATTTCACCATTACATTTGTGGGTGGAAGCAGTGACAGCACTAGGTCAAGATTCAAGCCCATTTCCCTGGATTAACAGTGAGCTACAGAAGGGCCCTTCTGAATATCCCCTAGGATACCCAGACACCTAAAAACCAGTACAAAATTTGACACTGTTTACTGACTCAATCTTTATTGCTCAAGGACCCTGAAATAGGAAAACTATGCTTTTCTTTGCACATTCAAAAACTGGTATTTGTAATTATATCATAAATTTAAATTGTTGCAAAGAATATAATTTCTAGCATACTGTAAATATTGACATTTAAAAATAAAACTGTTCCATCACTATTTTGAATGTATCCAAATGGAATCTAAATCGTCTTAACAGTGTTACTCATCATTATCCATTTAAGAAATGTGCAAGCAAGCTCATCCTCAACAAGCAAAAATTGTATATTATTCTGTTTTCTCTTTGAAATTTTATTTCCATTCTACTTTCCCTTCAGAATTTTATGCTAATGTAATATATTTATGCTTGAACATATTTACTGAGTATCCCATGATACTTTTATCTATCAAATATATGTATAAAATTAAAATTAACACACTTTAAAATTCCTGTGGCCATAGGCTCTACGTTTTTTCTAAATTGATTTATCATTACAATTACTGATATTACACAATTGATCAAAACCTGAATGAATAGAAAATTTTGATAAATTCTAACATAAGTAAAGTTTCATTGGAAGTTTGCATTTCTTAATAAGATAGATGATGATGTCCTTTTTTTCAAACATTAATATATATTATGGATTAATATTACTTATTGCTAGAATGACAAAGTGGTTAGCATCCATTCTATTTTTCATTTTTTTGTGGATGAAAAAATCCTTGTTCTTATAAATAAGGAGATGGGGATAGAAAGAGTTTTGTTATAAAAATGACCTTCAATTTTTGGTACTCCTTCTGACTTGCCCTAAGTCACATGGTAATCCATTATCAAATATTAGTTTTAATGATCTGTCAGCTGACAACTTCACTATTTTCTCCTTTGATTCTTGCAGAAAATTGAAAGCAATATACTGGAAGCCACCTGACTCACAAAGGACCTGGATCAAGTTGTGTCTTCCTCAAATTCATATGTTGAAGTCCTAAGCCCCATACCCCCAGATGTGATCTTAATTTGGAAATAAGGTTGTTGGCAGATATAATAAGTCAAGATGAAGTCATCACAGTGAATCACCTATGACTGGTGTCCTTATGAAAATGGGGAATTTGGACACAGGCAGGCATGCACAGAGGGAAGAGGCTCTGCAGACACAGGGAGAAGATGGCTGTTTCTGAGCCAAAGAGAGAGGCCTCCAAAGGAGCCAGCCCTGCCCACACCGTGGTTTTGGACTTTGGCCTCCAGAACTGGGAGGCAGTACATTTCTGTAAGTTAAGCCACTTGTTTGTGGTACTTTGTTATGACAACACTAGCAGACTAATAATGCCCAGTCCTTAGAGCCAACCACCTCCCTAACGCTTACACCTAGGTTTCCATTTTTCCTTTATTTGGTGCCCAAGAGGGCTTTTTAAACCCCAGAGTAATGTCCCAGTAAGATGGAATAAGAGACAGGGACACTGTTTTTTTTTTTTTTTTTTTTTTGTAAAATGAGGAA